GTTGAGTTCACCATAGCACTCAGATACGGTATGGATACCGCATATAAGAATAATATTGAGTTTAAGGTGCTTTTCCTCTACGTATGCATTCAGTTAATTTTCGGCATTATTTATTTACGATTTTTTTCTATCACTACCATTAGGGACAATGTTTCTTCGAATGTAATTATATACAATGCATGCATATTAGATAGAGCTAGCATCTAGTAATTCTGTTTCATTAGTCATTGTATATTTTTGCTTTAAATGATGTGTATAAACAATTGGTTACATCCCTGTGGAGCTGTGATGTAATACCGAATATGACCTGTAAAAACATGGTATTCATGAACATGTTGACCCTTTTATTTAGGATTTCCTACCCTTTAAGCTTTTTCGAAGTTCGACATTTACCCTTATCTGGTAAAACGATATGGGGTGATGTTTATCCTTCCTATTCTACTTGTGGTCAACACCACAAATGGATAAATTTTTTTATAATGCATATATTATATTTGAAAGTCTCTTCCGACACAAGATGGCTGAGATTTGGGACTGTTTTCTTCCTTTTCTGGATTAAAGTCCCTTATGCAGCAAAAATGTCTTTAAGACACTAAAATTCTCATTAGCTCTCATTATCTCTATTTTGTTAAAATTTTTTTTGAGTGCTCCCCACACTATTGTATTGATATATGTTGCTTCGGCTATATTGATACAATATTATTGTGGTATTCCCAAGGAAATATTTAGTATGTTATTTCTTCTTAATGTTTTTCGGATTTCTTGTGGTAGCAGTTTCGTTTCTCTTATAAGGCAATAACTTATTTTGCTTTATTTAATCTTACAATTTTTTTCTTCAAATATTCTTCCCGTTGTGACATCAGCAGCTTGCGCTGTCGCAACTTGGTTGTACACATATATGGCAGTACTTTTACTTTCGTTACTTGTACCGCCGGTACAAGTAAAAAGTACGTACTTTTACTTGTACTTCGTTACTTTTTAAATTTGGAACTTTTACTTGTACTTTCGTTACTTTTTTAGGGAAAAAGTACAAGTATTTGTAACGGAAATGTTGAATGAAATCGTTACTTTTTTCTAAAACTCGGTAAGCGTTCGAAAAAAAATCCAATCGATATCCAATCGTAAAAAAATTATATATGAAATATAATACTGCAGTACCTTCTAGTGCTCCCGTGGAGCGCTTATTCAGCGTGGCTAAGCACGTTCTGAGAAATTCTCGTAGCAGACTCAGTGACACCACTTTCGAAATGCAAATATTTTGCAAAATTAATAAAAATATTAATACACAAGTTATTTTCATTCATTTTCGAGTTTTATGCATATTTAATACATTTTAAATAAAAAATGTTGGATTTTGTTATTACGTTTTTCAATTTTATTTCTGAACTCACTAATAATATATTTTTGTCTTAATACATTTTTTACAAAATACATTTTTACCTAGTACATTTTTTTACTAAAATTATGTTTATGCCTGACCTTGTCAAGGAACGCCCAGTCAAATCTCTAAGAACTTCAGAACTATATTGAAAACTATTATAATTACTATTTTAACTCCTGAAAACTCTAAGGTATTAATTTAGCCGCTGATACTAAAATTCGTTTAGAAATTTTAATTATGCCGTCAGGCAGAAATGTTCGGAAAATGATTTTCTCGCATGACTTCAGCATTAGACATTGCTGAAAATAAAAATGTAGACTGTTCTCATTCAACTTATACTGCACATTCAATTATTTTTTACTAGCTCAAAGATCACAAAGCTATCTGAAACCCCGTGTTTGCTTTGTTTATGTTTGTGCTTTCTAAACGCGTTTCTATAGAGTAAAACAATTTTAAATCAATGGTAATTTAAATAAATAAAAATAATAAACTAAAAATTAAAATCAATAGATAAAATTTCTTTTTCGTGCAAATCCATAAAAAGTTTGATATTAAAATTATATTTGATTTTAAAATTATATTATACGATTATATTATAAAATTATATTATAATATTCTTCCGAATTTAAAAATAAATTAATGTCCATAACTTTCAAAATTAAAAATAATTAAATAAATAACAACAATTTTGCAAAAACATTAAAGAACATAAGAATATTATTCAATAAAATTTTAGGTTACTTTGAATTTTCGATTTCCTAGAAATGTACTTTTAAATCGTTACTTTTTTTGTTTAGTACTTGTACTTTTACTTGTACTTTTTACTCGTTACTTTTTAAAATAAGAACTTTTTACTTTTTACTCATTACTTTTTTTAAAAATACTTGTACTTTTACTCGTTACTTTTTAAAAGTAACGTTGCCATATATGGTTGTACAGTAACTGTCACTGAAATTATTCCATCCCCACTCACTAGTATAGAAGACATGTTAACTCGATTCTATATGAAGGTACCTTTTGATAGATAACGGTTTGCTTAGTCGAGAGCATAGTCTCCCATTGGTGACCCTGACGTGATCTAAACACGCTCCCCTTGTTCAGCTCAATATGAAAACGTCTAGTTTGATGGATGGATCACTGTGAACAGTTGACTTGCTAATTGAAACTTTGACATTGTCCTCCTTACTCTGTTGCTACTCATTCTCAAACACGCCAACGGGACCATGTACACACTTGACTGCTAATTGCAACACAGGAGTGACCACTCTCACAACCGTGATCTTAATACAGCTCTACCGGCCTCTCAGAAAACAGCAATGAATAAACTAGTGGTATCCATTCATCGAATTCTATAACAGATGAAATTTATGTGGGAAAGTATTGTAGCGTAACTACCACTACAATTATTCAAATCCCGCAAAGTTTCTCGTGATATCGCTGTGATTAATGGATATTTCGAACCATCTGTTAAACTATAATAAATTGCTTTGGCATTTTTAACAGCGGATAAATCGAAAGTGCGATCCTCGAAATAGCATATTTTAACTCATGTGCACACCATGCGAATGGCTTATTTTCTCCTCCTCAAAGCACTAATTAAAGCTCCACCCTCAATTTAAAAAGAATGTTTCTTCTTACTATTTTCGAAATTAGCATAATGCATAAAGAATATGGTTTTCGTCATAGCTTAATTTTTTATTAGAGACATATTTATTCATTTTGTATTTATAGAAACAATAAATCATTTATTTCTTGTTGAAGATTTTGATTTCTGATTGCAACTTATTACATGCATGCGTTAATATAAGAATCGAAATTATTGCCTATCGACGCATATAAATTCGTTTAATTTTTTGGATTATTTAACACCAAACTTGGTGATATATTGCACCACAGTTTTTACAGTGTAACAGCATGATGAATATATGGGCCAGGTGTTGTCGTAACGAGAGTACCATTCGATTTGTACTTGTACTACTTTGAACCACTTTAAAGCAGGGTGAAAAAATTATGATTAAAAAAATAAATATTTTTTTTCTTTTCTTTATGAATTAAATTATTGAGTTTAAATATCACACACTAAGGAAGAATACACGTTTAGGATATTTGTTTTTAGAAAAGCATAATTTAAAAATATAAAATTTTATAAATTTAAATTTTTATAATTTTACAATCAATAATTCTATCCTTTATTGTGAAATCGACGAATTTCCTTCACTTTTTTTTCTATACTTTTTGCGCCAATTCATTTAAGGATTAAACTAATCTTCAGAAAAAAAAACATTAATTAGTAATACAAGAAAAAAAGCGTATTAAATTCATAGAATTAATTGTTTTCTTTTCTTATACTAAAATATGATATTTTCATTCAGACTAATAAGGGCAAAAACGTATTTTTTTATGCAAATACAGCTGATAGTAAATACAAATACAAGAAAGTGTTGAATATTTTCATTTTCTGAATTATTAATAACTTAATTTTACATTAATTTAAATATCAGTTTTTTGTTCTTTTATAAGTCTGTCAGTTATATACATAAATGTTATACATTCCTGTTCAACAATTTTGAAATTTTTTTCAGATACTTTTTCCCCTCTTGAATCTAAATTTCTTGAAAAGCAATGCAAATTTCTTTACTCATTCCTTTTAATATTTAAGTTGTAAAAAAAATTAAAGTCGTAATTTTAATGAAATCATTTGATTTATATTGTTGGCGAAAAGCAATTTATTTATTTGAAAGAAAATGCATGAATTTTTTAAAAAAAAGGATAAAACAAGATGTTAATAACTCTTATGTCAAACCTATACCAGTACTTAAAACGTAAATTTAAATTCTTAATAATAATATATTAAATCTAATAAATCTATATAATCAATCTAATTTAAATTAAATTTGGACGAATATTACTTTATTAGTTAAGCGAATATGCCGGATAAAATCTAAAGCTGCCTCGAAATCATATTAATATTTTATATTCATGTATTAATAAACCTTTATAACGTGATATTTGGAGACTAAGTGAAAGATTTAAAAAAAAAAAATGACACAATAAAATTATACAGTTAATGGATTTCTGAAATAATTTCTGTATTCATAATTCCACCAAAAATAAGCTTTTACAAGCCACAAAATATGCATATTTTTTTTTTAAGTTTCAATGTTACTTCTCAATTTTTTTGATGAATAACGCTTTAAATTATAAGTTATAATAAAGACAATATTGTGAAATCACCAACAGAACACATTCTAACAATAATAATTCACTTCAATAAGTAAAGCGAAAAGATTTGCGATAAAATAAAAATAAATTTAGCGACCTAATAGGAAAAAAAAATAAGGAAAAAGTTTTCTGTCAATAGACAAAGTAAAGCACAAAACAAATTTTATTGCAAAATCAAACCATGCGCGCTTAGATAATTCTTGTGAGGGGTTACAATTTGGGGAAGTTCAGAACTTTCGCATTTGATTTTTCTTCCTTGAGAATTTTAGATATGCCTTCGTTTCAGGCAGAATTAATAAATTGTCTAAGAACAGGTTTCTCTGTCCTTGGTAAAAAAAAAAGTTCGTTCCCATAACTGAGACAACTCCCAACGTAATCATAGAAGCAAAAAGCGGCAAATACTTCATTGACGGTACAAACTTTGGCTGTGCGCACTGCCTCAGTCAGGTATATTGAAATATAAAAAAGTAGAATACTAATTTGAAACTCGTAACGATTTACTTGGCATGAACCTTAGCGGCTAGTTTACGGGCCAAGCTTGTGTTGCGCATGCGCGCTCATCGCCGGCCGGTACCGAAACTAATTTTCATTGTGGAAAACTGAACATCGAAGAATGAAAACAAAACGACTCATGTGCCGAACTTGATCTGACGTATATTTTGAAAGAGTGCGGTGTGTGTTGTTTTGAGTTGTTTTCTTTTTTTTCTCTTCCTTCCTCTTCTCGCGTTTATCTCTTGGGAATAGTTCGGATTGCGGTCCATTGTCAGGTGAGCGTAGAATTCACATTTTCAAATCTAATTACTTGAATCGTTTGAACTTTGTAATAAAGAACGAGGGATGAGCACTTTAAATTAACCGAAATAAATAAAATTTAAATTTGCAAACAGTAGTTATTGTTGCATAAAATATTTATGATAATGAAATTTTTATTTTTTAAATATGTTATAGATTTTTTGCTGCTTTGTCTTTTTTTTTTTCAAAACAATATTATTATTATAGTTTTTATATTACATAGAAAGGAAATAAACAATATTTATCAGAACAAGATATTCGCAATTTTCAAATTTAATTATTTGAATCATAGAAATCTTCTTTTTAAGAAATCGGGATGTGCATTTAAATTAGTCTTAATTAATTAAATTTAAATTTGCAAACAGTAGTTTTTGTGATACAAAATATTTATCATAGCGAAATTTTTAATTTTAAATTAATGACTAATTAGTTTAACTTTTTTGGGGGAGAGCATTGTAATTATTTTACATTTTATGTTACATAGAAATAAAATTTTAAATAATATTTATCAGAACGAGGTTTTCGTAATTTATACGAAATCTATACATTATGAAATGAATATTAATCATTAGAAAAAGTGATATTAAATTATAATCTATGTATTATTTTTTAATTCTAAAAGTATTCTGATTTGACGGTTTAAGAAGTTCTTTTTTCAAAAATTATCTTTAATTGCGAAGTACTACTTGAATAATAGATTATCCCAGGTTACCTATCAGTGTATTTTGTATCGATGTATTTTGAATGTGAAATGATTTAATTTAAATCTATTTCCCTTTATATATTCTGGTTTTAAAAATTATTTATTTTAGAAAAAAAAGCTTTATTTCGGAATTTTTTATATCATTCCTAGGCAACTATTATGTTTTGCATAAGAAATTGTCGATTTCTTGCTCATATTCATATAGATTTTATGAAATTTTTATAGGTAAAAAGCTCGAGTTTTTTTCAAAATTGGTTTATAAAATAAATTATATTTGTAATTTTATTATTTTTTTAAATTTCGTTTAGTTTTTTATATAGAATGATAAATTCAATTATTTAATAAGTTAAGTTTGTTCAATGTAAGTTGGATAATAAGCAACGATGATGAATTCAAGAAAGTCCCTGCTTTCAAGTGGTGAATTTAGTATCTCATCCCTTCGACATCATTAAATTCGTCTCTTCGTATTGTACTTCTTTAAGCTTACCTATTTTAGACTTTTTTTTTCAGATGATAGTTTAACAAAATATTATTAACGTGTTCATGAAATATGTTTAGTAATTAATTTCTTAAATTTTGACGCAATGCTGAAATTAAACCTTTAAAATTGTGCAAGAATTCATTTCTAGCTAAATTGTTAAATTAAGACAGTTTAAAAAAAAGTCAGGACTTAAGCAAAGTATAATTCTATAGTTATTTGAATTGATTGATATCGATTTGATCGAATAATTATTGATATTGAATAATTATTCGATATAAATCACGGGGTAAAATTGACTATGCTTTTATGCAAGTACTCACCTTTAAAATCCTTCCGTTTCCTTTGAATGGCTGAAATTTGAGAATTTTGTATTCTGCATGATCCAAATATTCTCAGAAAATAACGAAAAATAGAATAAAAAACTAAAAACAAATTTGGAATTCATGGTCTTGTTTGATTTCCGAAATTCGTGAAAGTTATTAGATGGAAAAATTCTACTAAAGAAACAGTCAAAATAGTAAATTTGAAAAAGTAAACAAATAAAAAAGAATTCTATAATACAATGTTCAAAAAATCGTTTTCATTTCAACCATATTCTCGTTTTTCCTTTCAGTTCATAAATTAGTATTTTTGAAAAAATAAACCTATCAGGAAAAGTTCCATAATGTATAACAAAATGAAGATAATGTAATAAATTGAAGGTAGTATAATAAATTAAAGGTAATATATCAGACTGGTGAGAAGTTATTGTTTTATTACATAATTTTTTAAGACAAAAAATCGTCTGCTTGTTTAAATCAAAATCGTATCAAAAACGATTCTTTCTCAAAATAAATAAACAAATAAATCTTTGCTAAAAATAATAGAAAGATAAAACAAATGTAAGAATATATGTGGTNTATTGTTTTATTACATAATTTTTTAAGACAAAAAATCGTCTGCTTGTTTAAATCAAAATCGTATCAAATACGATTCTTTTTTCAAAATAAATAAACAAACAAATCTTTGCTAAAAATAATAGAAAGATAAAACAAATGTAAGAATATACCTGGTCAATTCCAAAATCCTTTAAAGTATTTAAAAATTATACCTGAATTGATTAATGCATAATAAATTATAAGTTTAGAACAGGTATAATAAATTATACCTATTTTAAACTGAGAACGAAGACTATTTGACAAAATTTGGGCGTATATTTGAAAAGAATGCTGAAGTAAGCTAGAATTAAATTTTTAACATATTCTTTAATTTAGAGTTTTTTTTAATGTTATTTTATGATGATTAATTGCTGTAGTAATGGTTATAATTATTGGTATTATTCATGATAAACTATATCATATTATCCATTGATGCTATGCTAACATTCTACCAAGACAAAGTCTCAAAAATGTAAAGTGAATATAAACATAATTTGCAGGTTTTCCATATGTCATGGAAAACTTAAAAATATGAAGGTGGTTTGACGATTTTTCAAAAAACTATATTCTAGAAGTTTATAGCATGTTATATTTACTGAGTTGAGAAATGTAAATTTTTTATAGAACTTTTAAAAGATTTAATGAAATCCCAGTGTTCTACAGATCCGAGTTTAAGAATTCTGGGGCTATATAGGGTCATAGCTACTGCTAAATTTTTTAACTTGCGTTTCTCCGGCTTTTTTTGATTTTCTGATTTGTTAAAATTATATTTTCCTCGCTTAGTAAATGATAATTTGATAATTGTCTTATTTATATAGTTTAAGTTACATAAAAACAGACAACTGTATTGGCTTTATATCGTTTTGTATCTCCCCAAATGTCGTAAACCACAGTTTTACGTTTTAAATGTTCCCCAACAATCAAAATTTTAACATGTCTCTCATCAAACCTCGTTATTATTATAAATGGCCGGCAACTACTAAATGAAATGAAAATTTTGAAAAGCTTATCAAAGACTATAACTAACTTTTTACTACTACTAGTACTAACTAACTTTTTACTACTTTACTAACTTTTAAATTTGTGTTTCTCTCGATGTTTTAAATTTTACTTGTTGCCAAGCTTAAATTTTCCTTCCTCTCTTAGTAAATGATAATTTGCTAATTGTTTTATTATAATAGTTTAAATTATACAAAAAAAGACAACTGCATTGACTTTATGCCATTTTGTTTCTCCACAAATGCCGTAAGACACACTTTTCCATCTTATGTTCCACAACAATCAACATATCAGCATGTCTCTCATCATGCCTCATTATTATGATAAATGGCCGGCAACAACTAAATGAAACAAAAATTTCGAAAAGCTCATCAAAGAATTGATGAGATTTTTCAAGCTCTTTAACCGAATCGAGAAAGCTAATTAGGAGAGGTTAAAAGAGCCGCTGCGAGTTTATTTCCTTATTTACCAACTCTGCAAAAAAATTTCACTCGATGCGAAACTCTCCCATCACATCATACGTGACATAATTTAACTACGAGTTTTCCATTCGATAATCATTAATCTTTCTAAAATGTATCTTCGGGCTCTTATTTTCTCACAGATTAATTCTATTATATGACCGAAACATGACTGGGGATTTAACCAAAAACTAGCTTAAATGTAAAATTCGTGCCCAGAATAGCTTTTTGAAGAAAGATAAGAGATTTCATTTGTGTCCATTATTGTGCTGGACAGAACTACAGAGCAAGATATGAATTCTTTCTCAAATTTTTACATATATATCTATTGTATCTAGAAGTATTTCCTATTTCATAAACTGAAATCCTTTCCGAAAACAACGAAAATTAGTTATGTTAAACTGTAAAAAAAAAAAGTAAATAAAAAAACGTGATTTTAATAGTTTTTTTCATTATTAATAACAACTTACATAAATTTTTTAGATGTATGAAAATGTAATTTGAATTCTCAGTATTCTTAACTTAGAAATTCATGATGAAAATTTACAAACTTACAAAACTAATATAAACTTATAAAATCTAAATAGTGTTTTCATGACATTTTTTGGTTTACAGCACGCTATTTTACATTCTAGTTAAGTATTTAAAATTATTTGCAAAATTTCTAAGCACATAAACGTAAAATTTCTGAACACATAAACGTAATATTTCTGAACAAACTTGTATTTAAAAAAAAATATGCAAAATTTATTTAACAGCTGAGCCGAGATTTTGAAATACATGGACAATGTTGCATGTCATTGACAACTTATAAGGCATTCTTGCTTTTAGGTTTTGATATTCACCAAGGCTGAAAATTCAAATTCGTTTAACCATAAAATAGCAAAAGGTTGCAGACTTTTAATAGATTTCAAGCTAGTTGAGGTTTCCAAAGTTTTAACAAAAAGTCAAAGCTTAACAAAGTTTTTACCGAAGAATGCTGAAAGGTAAATTTTATCGCTCCTTCAATCAATAAGCTGTTCGTCTTCTGTTGTCTATAGTACTTATTGATTTATCTTTAATTTNCTAATACCAAAAAAAGTACTTACGTAGCGTGAAAATATCTTTTATGATTGAACTCTTTCAAAAGTACATAAAAATGGTTGCCAGCAGTGGTGCACATGTAGATTTATTAAATACACCTTGTGCACCACCTAGGAACCAAATCTAGAACCTGCTCTGTTACAATCGTACCCTGTTACAATTGACCCCACTCTCCCCTACTTACTGATTTTTCTTTAATTTTTTAAGGAGTTTCAATGGTAGCCCAAAAGCAGCTTAAATTTAACTTTAATGCTTCTCAGCATTATTTTTTCTTCCAATTATTAATGAAAATATAATAATTTGCTATTTCTGTTTTAAAGCTAAAACAACATAAT